TGGTATGGCAAGTGGCAAGTAGCAATTAGCATGCGTCTAGTATGTTACTTAAAATGTAACCAATGCAAACGAATGATTAGAATTAATGACGTCACTGTCATTTTGGTGTGCGCTGAATCATTCGTTTTCATTGGTTATATTTTAAGTAACATGCTAAATGCGAGCTACTTACTACTTGCCATGGCAGATTGGTGAGTGCTTCCAATGAGAGCGCCAACCAAACTGGCGTGGCAAGTATCAAGTTGCAAGTTGGACACGTCTAGCATGTTACTTAAAATGTAACCAATGAAAATGAAAGATTAGAATGAATAACGTCACTGTCATTTTGGTGTGCGCTGAATCATTCGTTTCCATTGGTTACATTTTAAGTAACATGCTAGACGCGTGCTACTTGCCACTTGCCACGCCACTTTGGTGGGCGCTCTATCTTAGACTTCAAAATTATTTTTGCCAATGCTTGCATTTTATGATTTGGGGCAAACCTTTGTCAATACAGTCATAAAGACGAATTTTTTCTGCGTTTTTTTTTTGTATACTTTGTGGTTATGATAACTTAGAGAGATGATATGTTTTATTTTCAGTTGTATTACCCATTTATCCGATTTAAATATTTTTCTGAAACTGGTCTTTTACGACATCTTAGTTTTTTCTAATATCGTGTTGAGAATAAATCGCAAAGGGTAAAGTATTTTTATTTTCGTGAGATATTATATCTTGGTGCAATTACAGTCTTCGAAATGTACAGAATAAGCCAGGTACCAGATACCATCGAATACAGTAAAATATGATCTAAAGTGGGTAGTACCGCTGATGGAGAAAAATGATAGTTTTTCTTGGATACTAACGTAAACACCTTGAGGCAGGTCTTTGGGGGAGAGCAGAAAAAGAAGAATCAAAAAAAGATTCGTTAGTAATATCGAAAAAGATATGAGGAACATGCTAGCTAGTACTTGCTTGGCGGTGAAAGGCGATTGGTAAGAAAGACTAGGGGAAAATTATTAGAGGGGGCTACTACCCACATAGGGTTTTAATGCTAGAATAATGCGAGTGAATAATAAAGGTAAAATGTATTGGCATGTCTCGCAAACTGGAAAACAGAACGAAAATAGGTACATCCGTGGAAGGCAACCGTTGCCTGGCAATAACTTATAATTTTCCATAAATATACAAGGGTTAAGTATTGATAAGAGCTTACTAACAAGTACTTCGTATTGGTGTAACGGAGTGTAAATACTTGTATATTAATACGCTGCTATGAAAAGGTTAAAAACAATCCACGGTGTATTGAATAATAAAACGTATAAAAACAATATTCTATAGTAAGCTATAAAAATAGGCTGGGAACAATTTGTATTACAGTAAATGTATAATAGTTGTTAGCATTAATCTTTGAACTATCATCCAAGACTTATTGCTACTGTACCAAAAGGTGATTGGCTAGGACATGGGTACATACGTGAATAAAGTAAAGGTGTTTAAACTGTACAGTTCTCCAAATCGTTTTCTGAAAACAAACATTCAAAATAAGAAAGAAATAGAGACATTTGATAACGGTTTGGTGGGCTAAATACTATCTTGTGTCTTGTATCCTTTATCTATGTCTGTGCCTGATGGCCCTACTTGCATGTGTTTTGCAACTGGCTTTCCATTGAAATCAAAAGTCTGTATACCTATATTCTTCTCATGTAACTACACCAGTGGCACGTCTTTGTCTCCCCTATTGTACTACATCTTGCGCCGCATGTGCAAGATGTCTTCATGCTTTAAATCGTCTCTTCTAGTTTTGTTTATTGTGCTTTTTAATATATTCATATCCACCAGTCTCAACATAGTTTTGGTTTTATTAGAGGACTCTCCCGTTTCTATTTCATACGTCATAAAGCATCCGATGCAAGTCATGTACATTCTAATTTTTTTTGCCCATTCTCTTGCATCTATTGCTCCACTTCTATATTATCGACATCCTGACAGAGTTGCTGCTTTGTTGATAAGTCTTTTTAAATCTTTTTCAAGATCGTGTGCACTGGAGAGATAAATTTCTAGATAATTTAACTATGATATGTGTTCTACAGTTGCGCTGTTAACACAGGTTTGGATATTATTGGATCTGTAGCTGTAGTTTTGTGCTTTACCTTCTGGATTGACATGTGTTGAATACTTTCCTAATGAAATTTATAGAGTTGTTTCCTTAGTTCGTCCTCGGTTTAGGCCATAATTATCTCATCATCTGCAAAGCCGAGCATGCTGATTCATTTGTTTATATAAATCTGTTACTTTTTTTGTTTTTGACACTTTCTTCCTGACACCACGGGCGATGTCCCTTGTTTATTAAGTATTCTGCACATCTGCAACACCACTCTTTTACATCATATTGATACCTAACCAATAAAGAAATCCGCTGCTTTAACTTCTTTTATCAAATAACGAGAAGCAGGTTACGCCTTCTTGTTTTTTTTAAATTATTTTAGTGATATTAAGTTTAATAATGACTAAAACGTAGCGATATGGCTTGCGTACGAACCGCCTACAACCTAATTTTATATCAGCAGGTGTTTAGACTGAAACTAGAGTCAATTCAAATACCATATATCCTGTATATGAACTATTTTTCTGTTGCTGAACATATTGTAATGGTAAATTGGACAATTTTGCTTTACTTAGGATACTCTTATACGGTATGCAGATTAACTGTAAATTAAAAATAAGCTCTAAGACCGAGCGATTGGTATGTTGTTGCGAAGGCAGGAAAACTTACTCTCTGGGGCAACAAACAGTTCAATGATCCAATCATATCGTTCAAGGTGAAGGATATAATGTCCTTTCTGCATTAAATACTTCCCTAGTTGCACCTGTAAAGTCCTTAAAATTTCAGGAAATAATAATTCCAGTATTTGGCCTATAAATTCCAAATAACAATGTACCAGTACAAGTGATTCTTAATCTAAAACAAATTTACTCGTTATTCAAAGTTAAAAACATTCACATGAAAAGTACTTATATGGCAATAACACAAAAGTAAATACCTAACAAATAATTTCAATAAACAAAATATTAATTATTATACAGTATGATGCAAATGTATGGAATAAATTCATTATTTCAGAAACAGGCGACTTTAAATTTTTTTAAAATAGATCAATTTTAATTTGTTAATGACCGTCACTTTATTCTCCTAATCGCCTTTGCATCGATGTATCATTCGAATATTTGTTTCTACAGGGTTAACCAAAATTATGTACTAAGTTAAGTAAAATGAAATTACAATAAATACTCCTTCACTGAACTAGATTACACCAAAGACCGCCACTGCGAATAAAACAAAGTTGTGTTTTTTGCTGGTTCTGAAAAAAGAAATACATTGATTGATTACAGTGTTACATTCTAATCTGAAATTCTCAGTGTCAGTCAAATATTTAAAGTTATTTTTACAAAAAAATTTAAATCCATGTTCTCATTGGTTGGTCGTTATTGTCAATGATCTATGAATCTGTGAACTAATCGATGTCTAATTTTTACTGTTCGAATTTTTTGCTGACATTAATAACGGCATTAACAAGAATGAAACTTACAGAAACAGAACGAATCGGGATTTTAATCATGATTGACTGTGGAGATAGAGTGAGGACTCAGGTAGAAATTCATAATTTATTTAATGCTAAATACTAAAGAAATCGAGAACGGACCAGTTCGAGGCAGGTCGCACTAGATAATAATGTCCACCAATCAACTGTTGTTAGAGTGCTAAAAAAGGAGAAGAAGCATCCGTACAAAGGTCCAGGAGCTGTTCGAATATGGAAGCTTTATGGAACGATGTAACAGTGATCAGAGTTTGATAGAAATGAAACTTTATTCAGATAAAGCGGCTTTTATGCTCAACGGTCACGTAAACCGCCAGACATATCGTTACTGGGCAAGTGAAAATTCACATTGGATGCAAGAATATAGGACACAATATCCTGAGAAGGTGCATGTTTGGGCCGGCATTAGAAACAGTCGTATTACAGGGCCATATTTTTGTGAGAAAAACTTAAATTGCTCATCGTTATCTGGAATTTCTTCAGGACTATCTGATGTACCAGCTGAATCAGCTATTTCCAACTAGAAATGATTTGTGGTTCCAACATGATGGGGCTCCCCGACACTACCACGTTGTTGTACGAAATTACTTAAATAATGATTTCCCAGTTAGGTGGATAGGTAGAAGGGGATCTATCAAATGGGCACCAAGGTCTCCAGGTTTGACTCAGTTAGACTTTTAATGAGGATGTTTGAAGAGCAAATGGAAATTGCACAAATAACTCTCGAAATCATTGAAAACGTTAGGAAAGACTGCTCGCCTTTCTCATTGTATTATTGCTGAAGATCGTCAATTTCAACATTTATAATTTGATTGTATTTTTCTAAACAGTAAGATTATAAGCTAATGGTATCAGTAAACCAACATAATTACATCATTGAAATGGCGATTAGGAGATCTTTCAAAAGGAGTGTCTCGTGACCTCGGTTTGTATTTAATACAATCATCGATTACGTCATTACGCCAACACTTATCATGTAATATTTAACACCTATACACTCTTGTTACTGAAATAATGAATTTGTTCCATATATTTGCATCATACTGTATATGCGTTATGTATGTATAATTTTCTTTACATGTGCTTTTTTTCCCATACTAAGATTGAAAAACTAAGATGTCAGAGATTACCAGCTTCAATATACTTACTATTTAGATATTTTAAATAAACATGAAGTATGAGTGTAAACTGGTGTTGAGGTGCGTTTCTGTGAAGAGTTGCCGTAGCTTCTTTGGTTATATAAAATTAATAAGAGTTCTAAGTGTAACATAGTGCTACGATTAAAAAGAGCTTGAACGAGAATGTGTACTCGTGTTAGCCTACTACTCCAAAATTGGGGGAGCCCAGATGAAGTATCAAACTATTATTAGAATTTTTAAAAGAAATTAGCATATTAGTCTTTATGTATTTTGTGTTTTTTAGGATTTGATCCCATTGCACCCGTTCGTCATCCTGCCATGAGTAGTGCCGCTATTATTGGTATAGCTGTTGCCGTTATTATCGTGGTTCTTATCGTTATGGATATCACCTGTTTCTTCATAAACAAAGTGGGCATTATAGCTTTATGCTTTAATTCTCGATCAAAACAAAGTGACGAAGACGATCCTAAGTTGGGAAGGTATGTTGACCTTAGTTTTATGTATTTTATCGACATTTACGATTCATATTTAACTCACATTTATTTTACTTTATTTTTAATTTGCATAAGAAAGGTGCTGGCATTTATAGGTATAATAAAACAGAAAGTTTGGTCTACAATTTTATTATACTGCCGAAATTCAAAAATAGCACGGCAAAATTGTGTAAAATTTCTGTTGGTACTAAATAATAACCAGTCGAAATGTACAAGCACTTTTACAGATATATAAATTCTGATGTAATAATTCTTTTTAAGTTAATCAGATATTTTAAAGTATAAATAAGATGCCCTTAGTTGCTAAAAATAATCATCGTGTTGGGAACTTTATTGGAAATAGCATCGTTTAAGCATGCTATTAATGCACTACTTAAATAAATATTAAAAGCAGATTATATTAGTGAAGTTGAAGTCTAAAAAGTTTCTATCTAAATATTTGTGCTCTGGCCACACTGATAAAATTCGCGCTAATGGATTCATAAGATAGTGGTAGGTCGAAAATGGCCGTGGCTAAAAAGGCTAAAAAAATTGGAATAGAATCGAGAAATTGTGTGGAGATAATTTTCAATTAATTATATAGACTAATCGCGACCCAATACGCATGAACCAGAAGAAAACGGAGATTGTGAGAAACATGAGATTGTGCTTCACTGCAGGCTTAGAGCAACGAAGATAGACGCTCATAGTCCTAGTCCTTAACAAAGAAAAAGTTTTTCTCGATTCAAAAAGTGGTAAAATGCTTTTTGGTTTGTTCAGTTTTGCAGTATACATCTAGTGTATGGTCCATAACAAAGCGGTCCATAACAAAGGTTTTCACAGCGGTGGTGAGAATTTGACTGTTAAACAATTTGGTTATTAGCTCCTCTATCGAGTGGGTTACAAATATTTTTTATTTACATTTAAAAGGGGGCGGCATCTTTTCCATGACCGTCCATATTCTTTGTTTAGAGGCAATGCATAGACAGTGCTAGTCAAAAGTCCGTTCCCCCCCTCGTATCTTTTGAACGGTTATTGTTATAATAGTGAAATTTGGTGGGAGGTAATAAATAGACGTAGGCTTCTCAACTAGTCATAACAGGTGACGTAATAGTGACAGATGACGTTACAGCGTCACTGTGACAGATAATTTTAAATGGGACCTTATGGCAAGTGATACTTAATTTGAAAGGTATTGAAAATACCTATTCAGTCATAATAATTTTGTTTAAGTTTAAACCCATTTTGATGAATAAATTAAATAAATACTAAAATTGTAGCTTTTCATTTAATTGATAAATATTTAACAACCAGTTCTTATAGTAAGTGTTCAAAATGTGCTCCATCTACTTCCTGACAGTAATGCATCCTATTTCTAAACTCTTGCCGTATTCGTTCAAATGTGTCGGGGAAATTGTCCTACATTCTTTAACAATTCATTGTTTCAAAATATCAATATTGTCGGTTACTGTAGCATAAACTTTAGATTTCAAGTATCCCAACAGAAAAAGTCTAATGGTGTGAGGTCCGGTGACCGAGCTGGCCATTATATCGTACCTCGTCGTCCAATCCATCTACCACGATATTCCTCATCTAGGTAACATCTTACTGCACCATAATAGTGTGCAGGAGCACCATCTTGTTGAAACGTTATTTCCAAGTTGCCGAATTCATCTGGATTATCCTTCAGAATTTCAAGTATTAATGGTTCAATTGCATTTTGTAACATCTCCAGATACACTTCACCGGTTAAGTTAGTATTGAGAAAAACAGGCCCAACTATGTGGTTTCCCAAAATACCTGCTCAAACATTTATTTTTTTTGGAAATTGGAGTATGTGTTTCAGGAAAGACGTGAGGATTTGTGTCACTCTAATACCTCACATTGTGTGTGTTAACATTTCCATTGAGAGAAAAAGTACTTACATCACTAAAACAAATTATTTTTATGTAATTGGGCTGTTGGTTAATTTTATTGGACATATTTTCACAGAATTCTACTCTTCAGTCGGGGTCATCATCTAAAAGTTGGTGCACAATTTTTAATTTGTATGCCTGAAATTTGTTTTCAGCCAACACTCGGTGTACTGTCTTTTGACTGATTCCATAAATAGATGCAACTTGGGCTGTAGAAGAAGTAGGGTTCACTACCATTTCTGATTTTTGTCATCACTAATTGTTGGTCGACCAGATCGTTTGACATCTTGAACACTTCCTGTTTGTTTAAACTTCCGAAGAAGCTTTCTCAAATAAGATCTCGATATAAGGCGATCGGGTTACCTCTCATTAAAAAGACGTTCCGCTGCATGGAAATTATTTCCACATTCACCAATTAGTAACACAGCTGCTACTTTATCGGGTACAGTACGTATAGTGCGTGCAAGTACTCCTGACCACGGCGCAGTAGACGAAATTTGGTTTAGTCCCCACCTCCATGCGAAACGCATTGTACTATACACTGTATAATTCCACTTACAATAGAAACATTCTGCCTTTACCTGAACTTGACTCCGCCTTCGCGCAGCTCCATGGTCAGGAGTGCTTGAACTATCTATACCATTCTGCCTTTGAAAAGAATAATTAACTAAACTAAATTAACTAACTCAACTAAATATTAACTAAGAACAACTAACTTAAAACAACTTGACTAAACTTGAATTGACTAAACTAAGTAGAAACAGAAACTAAATATTGGGCTATAAACGCTTTTGCAAACTAAAAACAACTAGATTGACAAATAACCAAAGGCTGAATTAGAATTTTAGTATTTATTTAATTTATTCGTCAAAAGCATCTTAAATCCAAACAAAATTAGTATTATTGAATAGGTATATTAAAATAATTGTAGTTTCGCATTTAATCCATAAATATTCTAACGTTCGCCTCTGGTTGATTGTCAAAAAAGTTGACGTTGACGTAAAAACATTTAGAGAATTCAAAAACGTCAACTTTTTGACAAGTAACCAGAGGCGGAGGTTTTAATATTTATTAATTAAATGCGAAACTACAATTTTAGTATTTATTTAATTTATTTATCAAAATGAGCTTAAACTCAAATAAAATTATTATGACTGAATAGGTATTTTCAATAGCTTTCAAACGAGGTATCATATGCCATAAGGTCCCATTTAAAATTATCTGTCACAGTGGCGCTGTAACGTCATCTGTCACTATTACGTCACCTGTTATGACTAGTTGAGAAGCCTACGTCTGTTTAATACCTCCCTCCGAATTTCACTATTATAAGTATAACCGTTCAAAAGATACGAAGGGGGGAACGGACTTTTGACTACCACTGTATGTGTACGGAGGATCGCTCTAGAAAGAATTCTTTAGGCCATCGTGGACTCAGTATCTAAAACATGAAGAGACTGTACATCTAGAGATTACTACACACATTATGCCTGTAAAACATGATGTCAAACCCTTACTTAAAATATCATCATTAACTAGTGTGAGTTAACACAAAATGAAATTGCTCAAATCAAAAGAGGTGCTCTCACATATTATACTGATAGATCAAAACACAGGAGGGAGTAGGAATATCAGTTACTGGTCCTAAGGCCAGACTGCCGATAGCCTTCAGAAATACTCCTACAATATTTAACGAATAACTGTTAGCAATAGATTTTTGTACCTACTCAACGAGTGTGTGAAAAATGCTTCAGTTCAGCCAAAATGAGTCAGTAACAACTTAGAAACCAAAACAGTTCCTTAAGCAACTATTCGAGTCCAACAAAGTTAAGTTATAAAGGAATTACTTGTAATGATATTGCTGATATTATTTTTAAAGAATGAGCTAATCTGACCAGATCCATTCTGCGGATGGAGAAAAAGGAGCATAGTGAAGGACGTCCGAAAATGTAAAAACTTAGTGTAGCTTACTGGGAAAATATTGCAGGGCAAATGCAAGCAAAAAAGTGATTAATCTTCTAGCCACTCAAAATTATTCAGTATGCAAAAGTATTCTCACTCCACACTCATTCATATATTATATTTGGTAAAATTGGCAAAGTGAGCAGGGCAACATGCAGATTCTAAGCAACGGTCTTAAACGGTCGAATATATTATTTTCAACTCTTATAAATACATCCAAATGGCTAATGTCATAAATACCTCCAAAAGTGATTTATGTACCTACCAAGTAACAAATGTATCTGCAAAACGGATGTTTAGGCTTCCTTAGATGCCTATATCGGCTGAACTGAACATAGATTAGAGTATATATAAAATATCTATCAGCTAGTAGTGTGGAAAGGTCTATGATGCTAAACGACCCTTACGATGCATTGTAAATGTTCATCCTGGAAAATTATTATTTTTACAAGTTTTACAAGAGAAAGCAAAAGCCCTGGAGAATATGATAATACCACTTTGCAAATACAATATATTATATACCTTTTATTGAGGTTGTTTTTAATAAAAGCTGGTAGAACTTACGTAGGAAGAGGCCTACTTACATAAATCATGATATGACTACAAAGGAGCATGAGAGAATAAGGAAAATGAGAAGAAAAATCTAAATGGAAAGATGTAAATATTAGTTATCTCTCTCTCCAATGATGCTACAGCCCAAATCGAGCCTTGGCCTCCTCCAACCTTGCCGGCCCCGTGCTGATCTTCTCCAGGTTCTCACGTCTAGCAAATTTTGCGCGCCCGCTGCCACTTCATTCTCCCACCTTTTCCGTGGCCTTCCTTTTGGTCTTGCGCTTAGCATTTTACTATCTAGGGCTCTTTTTGGCAATCTTTCAGTCTACATTCTCACTACATGACCAGATGTCCAATTGTTTAGTCAGAACCTAAAAGAATATCCTCTCCACACATATTTTCTGTCTGATTCGTTGAATTATGAGTACTAAAAATTCTAAACGTAATGGCAAATAAAGTTTCCAGTGGGCTATAATAGTTTAAAAACATCAATAGTAAATAAATTGGAGGCCTTTGAAATGTGGATCTGCCGGAGAAATTTTCAACACACTGAAAGTTAGAAAAACATCATACCTAGGCCACATAATGAGAAATAATAAGTACTAATATGCTCAACTAATAGTGAAAGGAAAGATCGAGGAAAAAAGAGAGGACTAGTGAGGAAAAGTCCATTATGGCTAAGAAACAGCTTAAGACAGAGAATAGTTTACAATTGTAGTAGCCAACCTCCATTGAGGAGAGAGCACTTTAAGAAGAAAAACTATACCATAGAAGCATCCCCGAGCAAGGAGAAATCCATTATAGACTATTTGATTACAGAGAAAATTTA